ATGCTCGGTATATGTTAAAAATGATTACCATTACCTTCCCGGGTCAAATACACTAACCATAAACATTTTTGATAATGTAAAGTCATTATGAACATCAAAAATCACACCGTGCCACCACAGTAATTCCCTCACATGGCCTGCTTGCCCTTCCAAAAAATGACTCCTATGTGCTAAGCGCTGAGATCTTTCTTAAAAGTGCTTTTTATCACTCACTCTTCAATCTTAACCTCTGCCAAGTTTTCAACTACTCCTCCTTATTTCTGGTCAGTGTGTAACTCAAACACCATGACCTACTCTACTGCTCCTAACACAATCAGAACTATTTCTAACACGGGAATGGAACTATCTGGGTGGGAGATGAGGGACTTCCCTCTGTGTTTAGCATGCATGTATCAATGCACAGACTTTTAAGCCAGGGTTCCTTAAAGCCAGAAACTGTTTCTCATTTATTTTTATACCTCCAGCCCCCAGCACAGTATTTGGCCCATGTGAGAATAGTCACCAAACAATCTTCTGGGTTTACTAGGGTTCTTTTTAACTGAGTATGTTTATTTTGTATGTTTAAGGGCCTTTTTCAATTATGCTTTTATTTTTATCTATATTCCAGAGCATTGTAAGTGACAGAAAACTGACCACCATGTAAATGAGAAATCACTGCATATTGATCTCCAAAATGAGACTAAAGATGTCATAATCTTTTGGACTTAAAAAAAAAAAAAAAACTTATTTATTTATATGAAAGAACAAACCACTCAGAAAGAGATGATGATCCGCACTGTCAACCTCTCCCTTCTATTGCACCAGTGCCAATGGGAGTAAGAGCTGAACTGATTTGCTCATAATTCTTTCCCTTGAATATACCGTTAATACCAAAAATGAATAAAAAAGGGCTAAATAATAAAAATATAAACCAGCCACTCAAGGATATGCATATTCTCAAACATGAAAGTTTGCTGTGATAAACTGATTTACGAACCCACAAGCACATCTATTGAACTAAATTTATATTTCACTCGAGTCTCCCAGAAATTTAAGCAATTAAGAAATCAAAGCACAGATAAAGAAGGATGCTGTCATACGTGAGGAGACTGCTGCACTGGGGCAGGCAGCATGGTGCAATAAGGCGTCTGAGTTGGTGCTGACCCAAACTGATGGTGGGGCTCCCTGCCTCCTTGTCTCTAACCTCCACTCCCCAAAATGAAAAATACAAGGGATTGGTCTGCATGACTTTTAGCTATCATTTCACTGCACATGTTCATTTTTTAAAACTTCAATAAAGGTATATGTCTTTAGCAAATAAAATTATGCCAGTAGGAAAAAAGCCACTTGATAAGTTGAAAACTATAACTCAATATAATAATATAAGTTGTAGAAATACTCAATTATTTTTAACCTATTTAAAACAATTACATATGAATGGTAAACACTGGAATAAGTATATTTCAGTGGTTTGGGACTCCATCAGACATATCTCATTAGTTAAACAGTTATATCGGAATGATTTCAAGTAGATATTCAATTCTACCACATTTTCGAATATACATGCCTAACATCTGTTACGTGAATTTCTCTAGGTAAACAGCACCATCTTTCACTCTCTGGTGCCTGTTTGGAAAACAAGCAATAGGTTATTTGTAGGAGGCAGGTGTTTCCTTGCTAGTAAAATCATTTAGCCTAACCATTTCCTGATTGAACAGATTAGGACACTTCATCAAACAATGACATTGAATTTTACTGCCCATTATTTGTTTGATGTTCAAAGATCTTAAGAGCAGGCACTGGCCACTACAGATCAATAAAGACCATTAGGTAATGTGTGTGTGCTTAAATTAGGGACAGCATCTGATGCTAACTGCTTCTGCCTCAAAGACAAGCTAGAATGTTATGCTCCCACCACAGTTGCTTTCTTGGAGGCATGAGGAAATAATGTCATTCAGATGGCATTTCCTCCTCCTAAACAGATATTCTGAACTAAGTTTTATACCAAAAGTTACTGAACGTGCACACCTGTAACAGTGTCTAACAAACAAAAGCTCTATACACCCCATTTCGCTATCCAGTTACACAGTGTAGGGCTGTGTAAGATTTATGTCAGTTCTCTGAGCATCAAAAAGGATATTCCCCGAGGGGGGTACAAGACAGCAAATCTTCTAGGCTTGAGATCACAGCAGGTTTAATAAAGGAAGAAGAACAGATGTCAATTTAAAAGAGGGAGATCATGGAATTAATTGTAAAACAAAAAGTGACATGCTGAGCAACATTTTTTTCCAATATAAGTAACATTAGGAACACATGCAATATGCACAAACATGCTTGTTTTTCTTTTAAAGAGCACTGTTATTTTAAACAAGTCTTACTTACATTGAAAACAATTAACACACTTTAACCAGTTACTTTATTTAAAAGGTAGGCCAATTGGCACCTCCTGAAAAGGGAAAAGCTTTAGTTCCGGAGCCTAGGTCTAGTCTGCTGCCTGAAGGGAAACAGAATAGGAATGGACTATTACTAGCTAAAGAGAAACGATGCCCTAATAGTTCCTTTCTTGTGTGTGTCCAACGGCAAGAGAGATGGATGGCAGAAACCTAAGTCTACTTAGTGGCTGAGTACCCAAAAAGGTGATCTGGTGGAGTAGTGGTTAAAAGTTAAACACAAGGTCAGTGGTTGGAACCGACGTGCTGCACCGCGGGAGAAAGAGGAGGCGGTCAGTTTGCATAAAGATGTACAGCCTTGGAAACCCTGTGGAGCAGTTCCACTCTATCCCCCAGGGTCACTGGAAGTCAGAATCGCCTCAATGGCAGTGGTACCCCTCAATAAGGAACAAGGGCAGCAGACTGTCTAGTTGTATCTCTCTACCAGTTCTCAGTAGGACTTGAAAAAGGTTTGGGAGTGGAGTATGTTCATTTAAAGGTTGTCTGTGTGTGCTTTTCTTCTCAGCAGCCCCCCATCTGTCTCCCAGACACCATCTCTCCGGAACAGGGTTGACTACGAAGTTACGACAGAGCAGAGCCTGGGAAGGTGTGCCTCAATGAAGACAAAGCTAGAGATCAGCCCAAAGAATCAATGCTGGACTGGCAAGCCCACCCAGGGGACCCGGAAACCTTATCCAGGGGGAACAAGGCAGGCAAGAGGCATGCTCGCCTGTTGGCAAGTGAAATATTTATGAAGCTACATGGCTCACCAGCAGAAGCTGAAGAAATTATTTAAGTGAAAACAACATATCCCCTCCCTTCCACTTTGAATATCATTTTGTAGACATGAAATACACGTAAGATCTTCCATTGTGCTGAACGGTAGCAATACGAAAACTTACTGTAATTTGAAAGAGCCCATATGCAAGTCAACACAAGTCAGTAGGAATACTCAGTCTTCCAAATAACAAGAAACATTCTTCTTCCTAACATTAAACTTCTGGAGGCCAGAGACTATGTCCAATTAATCTCATCCCCCAGTCCCCTTGACCCAATACCTAGCATGGTATCTTGCCCAATATGGGCATTTAACATCTGCTCAATGAGTATTTGGATAGATGTTGTTGTTGCTGTCATGTGCCGTTGAGTCAGACCCAATTCATAGCGACCCCTCCTTGGCTTTCTGAGGCAGTATCACTATGTAAGTAGATTGCCCCATCTTCCTTCCAAGGAGTAGCTGGTGGGTTTGAACCACCAGCCTTCTGGTTAGCATTATGACATTAATCATGTTTGATTTTAATTTGTATGCATTTTAATTAGTTGAGGAGTTAACCTTTTCCCCACACTTTCCATTATGTATATGTTTCACAAGTGGATTATTTTTGTAAATATTAGAATAGCATATAATATATGAGCAGCAACAAAAGCTTTGCTATTTCAACTACTTTTTTTTTTTTTTTTACTTTCCATGTGTCTTATAAAATCAAACCACTGCCAGTGAGTCATCTCCCACTCAGAGTGACCCTGTAGGAGAGAGCAGATTTGAGTCAACTCCCACTCAGAGTGACCCTGCAGGACAGAACAGAATTGCCCAGTAGGGTCTCCAAGACTGTAAATCTCCATGGAAGCAGACAGCCACATCATTCTCCTCCAGAGAAGCTGGTGGCTTCAAACCAACAACCTTCTGGTTAGCAGACAAGTGCTCTTTCATCTGTCTTATACCAAACAATAACTTTAAAACTGATGTTTCCTAACCATAAATCCACTGGACTCTGTATTTCACTAAGGTGTTAAAAGGGTTTCAACAAAGCCCAAGTTATTACTGGTAACAGGATATCGACATGTCAGTAGAAATACTTTTCTAAATGAGAAGAAACAATTATTAATCAATTTTTCAAAGAAGTAGCCAACTGTTTCATTGTTTTATGCTCTTGTTAAATATTAAAAGTTCTTCTTGCACCTATGACAGAACAGAAGATAAAATAACTCCCTTCTATTGTATCATATTTTCAAACTGGCAGAAAGAAATATAATTTTCAACTCTTGTAAGAGGTTAACATAATAATGTTTTCATTGTTATGTGTCGTCTTTGAGTCAGACCCAGCTCATAGCAGCCCCTCCTTTGGTTTCCGAGGTGGTATTCCGAGGTGGTAATAGACTGCCTAATCTTCCTTCTGAGGAGTGGCTAGTGGGTTTGAACTGCCAGCCCTTTGGTTAGCAGTCAAGTGCCTTAGGCACTATGCTACCAGAGCTCCCCTTTAACATAATAATGTTGTTGTTGTTATGTGCCCTGAAGTCTCCGACTCATAGGGACCCCTCCTTGGCTTCGGAGGAAGTATCACTAGGAAGTAGACTGTCCAGTCTTCCTTCGGAGGAGTGGCTCACGAAATGGAGCACGTAAGCAATTGCTTTTCATAATTAATAATCAAACTGAAGGAAGCCATTTATGAACATGAAAAACACAGAAGTAAAACTTGATTACTAGCTGAAATAAACTTAGAAGGGCTAGAATACGTGGCTTTATAAAGTCAGCCCATTATTAGTTGTCTCCCATGCTATTTTAAATTCTTTACAGCTTCTCACAAAACTTACCTTTTTTTCATAGGTGTGTTTTAAATGACTTTTCTCCATTTGAAATTTATTTTCTTGATCCTGTGAATGAAAAATGTTGTTTTATTATAACTAAAATTAGCACTAGATTTAATAAAATTGGTAATCTATTGAAATCAATCTACTTGACGACAAACCGTCTTTCCAGTTTTGCAGATTATTAATGGAGGCCCATCTACTCAATTTTGTAAGAAGCCCCATGTAGAAAGGTAAGTAGCTTTGTATTATAAGGCGTAACATCTTAGTTTTCAGATGATGTTACCATTCTTCAAAGTACCTAATTCAGAGTGGAACAGCAGCTTTCTCACCCTTAGGGTTAGGAGATTACTCTTAAATGGCCAGCGAATCCATACGGAAAGGATAAACTTGAAGTTGTATCATATACCAGTTTCTGGAACTCTTTGACCACAAGAAGAAAGGAAAGATGTAAGAGGTGCCAAAGACAGAGCAAAAGTGACAGAGAGAGAGAGAGAGAGAGAGAGAGACAGATTATGAAAACGGGTAGATGATCCTCTCAAAGAGGGGAAACTATTCTAAAATACCACTACTGTGTTTTACACAAGTAATGCACGAATTATATGGTTTTTGCAAACCACAAAACCTCTTCACACATGTGTCTGTGCATTATTTACGTGGGTGCATTATATATGGAATAATAAGGTATACTGAAATGAGATTTATTTTTTAAACTAATCTTAAAAAAAGATTATTACAATTAAAATTATTCTTTATTCTCCATATCTACTAGTATCTCATTTGTTAGTTAAAATAGTAAGATAAAAATGATGCAATACAATGAAAGAACCAGCATTGATTACTTGGATTGAGGCTCTTTCAATTGATTCTCATTTATACATATAAATCAAGAAAAAGAGAGGGGCGTTTTTGTCATTGTTCTGTATAAAAATACGTCATTCACCTTTAGTTGTTCCATTCTTTGATGTTCTGATTCCTGTAACTGCTCTTTCAATAAACAGATGGTCTGTTCTAATTCTTCAATCAAACCAGATGCCTAGAAAAATTTTCAAGAGAATATTGATTTTGTACCACCCTGTAACTTCTGGCAGAATAGCTGTACCTTTGATCCTGTTAGTTCTATTAGAATTAAAATTATCTATAAATGTGAACTAAAAAATGTTTTTTCAAGAAAACTACAAAATTAATCTTTTAAGGTAAAATTATAAATTAAATTCTACATAATACTTAATGCTATGAAAACACAACTTTGATATAAAAATAACAGGCTTACAGAAAACTGCTTACATTTTAATTTAAAAATGAAATCTACCAGAATATGTAATTCATAAAAATGTCAAGTGACTGACTATTTTAGGATTGTAGACACAGAGAAAGTTTCGATTTTTTCTGACACAAAAGTGAAAGTGAGGGTCCTGTGAGCACATACATGTGTGTGACACCAAGGAAATTAAGCAGAGCCAAGATTTTAAAATATCACATAATAATGTATACAGTTATTTTATATAAGGTATGATTAACACAGCTGGGAAGGTGCTCAGATTTTTATATGCCTGCTTTAAGAAGTTGGGTGAGTGAAATGGTTTTTCTAGTTGAATTAATTTATTAAATACTTATGTTGTGCTATATATATCACACATTTAGTATGTTTAATATAATAAATGCCAGCAGAAATTGTAAAGTTCAAGATATTTCAAGAATAAAGCAAAGGGAACGAACTTCAAATGCCAGTTAGCTTTCACCTGGTCGTGGATGGCTAAGTGCTGAGCCAGGAAATAACTACTGTCGCTGGAGGATGGACCAGCACATAGGATACCTTAGAAGCTGACAGAGCATGTTCCTGTTTCAGAAGGTTTATATCAGCATCATACTTAGTTTGCAACAGTGTCATATTTTGCTCATACTCCTTCACAAGATGGTCTTTCTCTTTATGCAATGTGGTGCGCCTAAAAGCAATAAAACAAGGTACACTCTCATTATTTTTAGAATCAATCACTAAAACAGACTATTTTCACTCAATCAAATTCAGATACATTCTCTTCTAGTATAACAAATGATAATCCACAATTTTATTAACTTTTAAACATTATACTTCACATACTAGTCAGAACTTCAAAAAACATAACAGTATTTAGGCTGGAAACTTCCCAAGGTCAAATGCACAAACCTACTACTATGGAGTCAATTCTGACTCACAGCGACACTGCAGGACAGAGTAGAACTGCCCCATCGGGCTTCACGGCTACACTCTTTACTGGAGGAGACTGGGGGAGACTGCCACATCTTTCTCCCAGCAGCTGGTGAGTTCAAACCGCTGATCTTTTGGTCAGCAGTTGAGCACTTAGCCACTGCACCACCCTGAGCTCCTTTCAAATGCACAAAGTGGGATTAATTTGGGTAGATAATTTACAGAGTCAATATCAGTACTTTATAGCCACGCCTGGTATCTGACTTCAGATAATACCTTGCCTTTACTTCTTGTAATTCATTGCATGTTATCTGGTAACATCTCTCAAGTTCCATTTTTTCCTGAATTAATTTCTGCCTCTGTAAATTACTGTTCTCTGCTTCTCCGGTCAGCTGCTGGACACGGGCTTCCAGTTCTTTGACCATCTGGTTCTAAAAGAATAGACTGTTGTTAAGAAAGCTTCTGAGTGACTTTGTAACATATGTGTATCATGAAGTTGCCTGAAGAACACACACAGCCACCTGAGACAGGAATAAGAAAAATAAATGTATTAGAAATCAAACCTCTACATTAACCAAGTCTTAAAAAACATCAAGAATATTTTCTGCCACAAAAGTAAGACCATCATGGTTATATACTTTTCATCATTCATTCATTCAACAGATATTTACTGAGTCTGATACTATTTCAGGATTTGGGGACATAGCAGCAAATAAGACAAAGTCCTAATCCTCAAGGAGGCTATATTCTATTTACACTTCTTTTTCAGATCTGTCAGGTGAGTACTCAGCAGTGTTCTTTGTTCTTCATTTAAAGTTTTGAAATGTTCTTAAGTTATAAAACAATGCAATAATATTTTTAGAAAGAAAATCCCTAACTCTAATATTTGAACATGGTAACTATGATCCCTGTACTGTATAGAAATATTTTACTACATAGTTACAGTGTTACTATACAAAAATTTTCATTTTTTGCTTTATTTCCTTTTACCATTTTATTAAAAGCAATTCTCTGTTTTCCTATCTTCAAAATTATCACTTCCGTAAATCACTTCCCTATTGCTTTACACTGAAGTTATTTTGAATTCTTCACTTTTATAATTTGAAACCTAGATAATAGTTTAAAACCCTTCAAGTCCTTTATCTAAAATTAGGGTAAGCAAATAGTAGAAACAAAACTTGATTTTGGTTCTAACAATTAGCAATTGTGTGGACAATTGGGAAACGTTAGTATGATGTTTCAATCAATAACCCTTCCATCGTATCCCATCCTTGTCGCCAAAAAAAATAAATAAATAACCCTTCCATGCTGTTTCTGAGATAAACATTAAAAATAAGGTTTCAAAATTAGTAATATCACAACCCTGACATCTTATTTTTATTTTACCTTTTCTTCTTTACAACACCAGTTAGGTATATGGTTTAAATTTTGGTGCAACAGCTTGAGTATCTGTAAAATCGAGATAATTCTATCCAATGTAAAAGCGTAGTACGTAGATTAACTTTTGAAAGCACACAAAATTCCTGGCTCAGAGACTGAAACTTCTCAGTTGCTGAGATTTCTCCTCTATGCAGCTTACTCACTTGGCTTCTTACTGATGACAGGGTTTCTGAAGATAGTCCACTAGTCAGTAGCTTGTCTTTTCACATTTTTTGTAAAATCTTTTGATAAACAAAAGCTTTTAATTTTTATGAGGTCCCATTTGTTTATTTTGCATTTTGCTGTTTTGCTTTTGTTATTATGTTAGATCATCCAATGTTAAAAGCTACACCTGACAGTGTTAACCCTCATTTTCTTCTAAGAATTTTATGGCTTTAGTTTATACATTTAGGTTCACTTTGTTTCTTATCTATGATTCCTCTGATTTAAAAGTTCCTTTCAGAAGATAGCTTTAATTTCCTAATACATACTCTAAACTTTCCTCATTTTCTAAATACTCATTGACTGGAAGAAACAGAGAAGAATACATCTCTTACCTTTCAGTTTTAAGCGGTGAAATAAAGATGATTTGAATCCTTCTCTCTCTTGAAAATTACCAAACTGAGACAAGAAGTACTAGCAACAAAAATGATAGTGTTTGCTCCATCTTAATGAATCCTAGCAGAGGAACATCTACCACTGGCCGTGATGGAGTGGCTTGCAGCAGATCACACTCACACTGAGAACAACTAAAAACCCAGAAATATTCAAACACACCCATGGAAGGCAGTGGAGAGCATCCCAGCCAGGACTTCAAACATGTCCAGAGAAAGTAACCTCAGAGAGATGAATCAACATTCTGGAAGTCTGTACCCTTAAGGCACTTTCCAATTTCTGTAGGATGGGGTAGGCAGGGAGATCGGAACAGAGGGATGCCAAGACAGCTAGGACTTGAGATTCAAGATGCTACAGAAAGAACGCATAGAGACATGAGCTCCACATAAGCAGCCGTCTCCTAACACATGGCTGAATTCTTAACATGACCAGCAGGAGCCCGAGAAACCATGGAAAAGGCCTGTGGCCAGCAGAGCAGTTTTCAGCAGACTCACCACACTCAGAAGTCAAAAACCGGAAACTCTCCAAGAGGTAGGCCGTCAGTACTATCAGAGTTCCCACCGTCACTTCCATATGCCTTACCAGATAGCCAAACATCATATCCTCTGAAACAGTCCCTTAACAAACAACTCAACAAATGCTCATGTACAATGGAGGTTCTATGTATAAAGCAGACACATACATGCTAGTGATTACGGTTTTTCTGAGGCTTATCAAATGGTACTGTCTACAAGGACTGGCCACACAATTAGGAAGTCCAGGGACTGTGCCAAATAGAATAGTCACTAGGGGGAAGACAGAGATTGGAAGTAAGAAAAAAATTCAATTACAGTAGAGAAATAGAACAGCAGTAAAGCTAAAACGGCAAGGTAAAAGAGGAATGAGTGTAATAGCAGAGGAAACTAAATTATAAGCAGGTCAAAAAACATAACAAAACAAAAATACTAGATAGTTCTGATACTCATTTCTCAAACAATGAGCACATGTCAAGACAGAGCTATTATTAGAAGCTGACATGCATTCTTGCACAAGGACACAATTCAAAGCAGCCCTACTATGCAGTAAGTAATATATAACACAAAAAATACCTTCTTCATTCAAACTTTATTTATTAACCAAATACTTTTGCATATACTGATGCCAACTTCCTGCAGGCCAGTCTCTCTCTGGCTTTAGCAAAGAAGTAAAATATATGATGTCAGTTATTTTATTATTTATTTTAAAAGTATTTTCTGAATACTCACCATGTTTATGCACAATTCTAGGACAAAGTAAATATAAGAAATTTCAAACTTACAGTAACATCAAGGGAAAGATCACATATGTATCTGAACTCCCTTAAGAACAACAGTAATATTTAGCTAAAAATGCGGTGTTTTTTTAACAACAGAAAGAACTGAGAGGATACAAAATAGTGAAGGTCTCAAAATGGGGCAAAATTATTCAGTAAAAATATCCTGATGCAGACTCATGTTTTGTGGGCTGTGACAGTATAGAAAGGTACCTAACAACTGGTGCTGGGAAAGAGTAAGTAACTGTATAGGGAATGATGAATAGGTTACCTTGGGTGCAGAGGAAAGGCCACAATGGGAACTCAAAGGTGACACTTGAAAGGCTAGTTTGGAGTTCTTGAATGGACATGGCTTATAAACAGAAGTTATAACAGGCATTAGAGTAGGAACTCAAGTTCTTGATCATGGAGAACTAGGAGGAATTTCACTAGTGGGATATGGAGCAAGAAGAGACAGGGAGGCAAATGGCAGGTCATTGGAAGAGTCCAGGAATGATACAACAATGGCCTGGATTCAACTGGTTGCTGTGGAAACAGAAGGTAAGAGAACAGATCTCAAAATTATTCAAAGAACAGCCTGATTCCATAAAACACTGAATAAAAGATGACGAGAAGTGGCCAAAAAAAAAAAACTTCCAAGTTCTAAATCTAGTCTGCCAAAGAATGATGCTATCAACGGGGAATTAAGAGAAGGTCTGAGTAAAAAATATTATTTTGAGTATCATAGACATGATCTTCAACAAGTTAAGTCTTAAGTAATATAAAATATCCTATGGGCAATTGATTATAAAACTACAGAGAGCATAAGAAATCAAGGCTGGAGAGTGCTTCAACATTAGAAAGCCACTCAGTGTGACAAACGACATGAACAGAATAAAAGAGAAGCAGCACTTGATCATCTCCTTTGATGGAAAAAAAAGGCATTTTTTAAAAATCCAACACCCTTGATGATAAAAACAAAACAGAAACAGTACCCATACTATGCATTATTTTCAGAAAACAGAGGAGAAAGAAACATTCCCTAGCTCATTTATGAGGTCAGAATTGTCCCCAAACCACACCATGAACATAGACATTAAAAGGACAACTGAACCCTAACATCCTCATGAATATCAATGTAAAAATCTGTAATAAGGTATCACCAATAGAATCCAGCAAGACAGACGAAGACAGACCATCTAGACCAAGGAAGTTTTATCACAAGGATAGAGAGCACAAGGTTGGCTTAACATTTAAAATTCAATTTATATCATTCACCAAATTAACAGAATAAAGGAAGGAAATCACAAGATCATGTCAATAAGCACAGAAAAGTACTTGCTAGCATCTAACCCCCACTCATGATACAAACTCTTAAAACTTTGCCCACGTGAAACACAGTTTCTCCAACCTGATTCAAAGAAATATACATTTAAAAAATCCTACTAACACAGTGATTGGGGAAGGCTCAAAACTTTCACACTACACGGGGAGACCAGGAAAGAGTGTCCACTTTCTCCATTTCTGGAGATGATGAAAATATTCTCTATGTTGATTGTGGTATTAGTTACATGACTGTATACGTTCGTCAAAACACCTTATCGAACACCCACAGAACGTACATTTTAGTGTTTTTAAATTATACCTTAGCAAATCTATGTGAAAAGGGTTAAATGTAAAAATCACTATTTAAAGCAACATCAAAATACATGGATTCTTCAGAAATAAAGTAAACAGAAAATGTGTAAGACAGACTCACTGGAATTACAAAAAAAAATCTTATTAGGGAAGGATATAGTTGATAGTTAGTTACCAGTGATAATAAACTAAGAAATTATCCCAGTTTAGGTTCCCAAAATTCTCAGAGAATGAGCTCCTAATCTAAGATCCCTAGTGATCAAAAAAGAAAAGCAAGTCACAAATGTTATGACTGCAGGAGAAAAAAAGAAATGCAACTCATTTAGAATGCCCCCAAATTTGATATAGGCACTCTGGTAGTGTATTGCCTAAGTTGCTTGACTGCTAACCAGAAGGCAGGCGGTTCAAACCCACCAGCCACTCCTCAGAAGGAAGATTTAGCAATCTACTTCCGTAGTGATTCTGCCTCGGAAACCCAAGGAGGGATCG